TACATAAAATCTATAGAAAAAGCATGCATTACTCACTAGGTTTTATTCTTTAGCTTCTTCAGCATGTAATTCTTTACGCTTTACAATGTAGTAGGTATGAAACGAAACATTTTCCCTTTATTCCACTGATGCCGCTGTTTGAATACCATTAGATACCAAGGACAATAGGCAGGATCAGCTCGAACATTAAGAGCAAATATTTAATGGAAGACTGGTTACCCCCGTCTCTCCCTTTCACATCTCTGCCTCATGTATCCAGGCACGGGTGGTACTGGCTCCCTTGAGAGGCTGTAGCTAGCAGCTGAGGCACAAACTAAAACATGGCATGGATGTCAAGGAGCTGATGTCACAAAAACAAGTATTTCTCTGATAAAACCGGCAATTCCATTAGGGAAGTCCTACGAATCGATAGAAATTGTTCGGCTGAACATGCTTTATTATACAATGCACTGCAGCACCAAGAGTGATAAATCAGATCAAGATCTGTCAGTGTAAATAAGCTGAGACTACAATAACTAAGTTATAAAACTGCCAATCAAATACCATGCTTTGTATCAGGAAGGCTATCACTTATGAGCACAGAAGAGAAACACACACCTAAACATTTCAGAAACAACCTTGTTTAATATCAATTCCAAAAGAATAACTAATCTACTAAAGTAAAAATATTTTTAAATACAAAAGACCAGCCTAAAAGTCTGCCATCTTTATCAGGAAACATTGTGATAAAGTATCCAAGGCTCCAGTCCAGCAGATGCTAGAAACGCCTGTGAGAGGTCACACTCAGTATCTAGAAAGAGATGCATGTTTCAGAAATCCTGCCACCTCACCCACATAGCAGCACTGCCATTCCAGTCTGTGAGGATGGGTTAACTGTCTTGCTGAAGGTAGAAGGTACTGTTTATACAACAGCAGCCATACATTTATAGTGGGAGCTGGGTCTGACGCAAAAAAAAAGAAAAAAAGTAAAAAGTGCAAAAATTCAGGAGCAAAAGGAATACAATACAAACTCAGATGCTGGAGACTGTGCAAATTCTATCTTGCAGACAGCATCGCATCAGTATAAGAAGGTACGTTCTTCAAGCACAAAAAGAACTTTTCTTAAGGAATGCAAATAGAATTGAAATATTGGTCACATGGTTTATTCCATTAATGGATTACATGCATTTATTTCAAGCTTTGCTGGCTAGTACCATCTCAAAACCATATCAATTTCACAAAGGTCCAGCACAGCTAGCAATTAGATTATCAGATTTCAACATAAATGCAAAACATTCAGTATGTATTTCTGCACTCTTCTTCCAAAGCATTATTGTTTTGAAGGAACTATAAAAACCCCCTACAATTCTACAGAAATTCACTGCAAAATACTTGCAATTCAGAAGATCACATACTATTAGAAATAGTCACTCCATGACCTAATATGAGCAAGTCTGAGCAATATATTTCAAATGAAATTGTTTAGCAATTCAGTAGTTTTGTTTAAAAATTCCATTTCAAACTGTCTGCAGTTCTGTAACAAACTAGAAGTCCACACTTAGAGACTGCTAACTTAAGTAGAGGCCCATTTTGGATAGAGCAACTAGTTAACTCTTTATTTGTCTCTGCAAATAACTTGAGGCAAACTCAAGCTACTCTATAGTGTAAGCATAATGCTCTAGAAAAGTGCATACGGAATATTCTCATTTTTAAAAAGGATTTCCTATGAATGTAGGTACAGTGATAAAGCCACATAAAATAAAACAAGAGTTTGAAACATACTGAATACTTTCTGAACAAAGGACAATATTTTAGTCCTGTCGAAATAAGTAATACTTTAAATAAACTATATCACCACTATCAATAACATTTCCATACAGTCTAAGTGCAATGCAGATGTTTTTTGTATGCCTTTAGCTAACAAGCAATAACACTAAATGCATTAGTTTATGCTAAATTAGCACCAATACTATTTAATAGGTCTGTTATAAAACAATTTGAAAATAGTTACAACTAGGCCACAATACCAGATTTCCATGCAGGCCCCATGGATGCAAAGAGGCAATACGCACTGAATTAATTCAATAAATTACGAGAAACCTGACCACAAATCACTTACCGAGCACATCCTACTAAACAGGCTTTTTAAACAATCAAAGTATGATTCAACGTGACCTGTAAAACCATGTAGGGAGAAATACCCTACAGACAGAATAACCAGGTCATCTGAGCCACACTAATCTATGTGCTTCTGTAGTTCATCTCATGGCTTGAAATAACTAAAACATCTAACAAATTAACACAAAAAACTTTTGTACTAAAGTATCTACACTTTTAATGAGATCATTAAATTGCAGTGAACTTTATTATGCCACATTATTTGCACAGACACCCCTTTAAGCAACCACTTTTTCTCTCTTCAGTTAGCTTACTTTTCTTTACAGTATTTCACATTAGTGTGCTTTGTGTTTTCACTAATAAGGGCAAATAATTCTACTTGGGACTAGCACCAGTCTAGGCTGGTACAATACGAGTATTTCCTCCTTCCCTCTTTAAACAGCTACAGGAATGGAAGCAGAGCTAGAGTCAGCTGGTTCTTTCAGTTCTTATATTGGGAAAGCAGAGTGGCACGGATGCCCATATGAGTTCATTCCCTACAATTTTCATCCAACAAGTTAGAAGCAAGATAGAAAAAGAAAACAAAATAGTTTTCAGCATGTTGTGCAATAGCCCTGAATATTGTAGTGATGCCAGACTTGGTTGTTCCATTCTTAGTTGCAGAATTAAGGGGGGGGAGGCACTCCAGAGTTAGAAATTTAAATAAAATCAACCATTCTGTCTTCAATGAAAAGACAGCTGTTTCACAGAACAGTCTGAAGACTTATGATGGAGTACTAACACTTAAATTTACCCTTGGCAAAATCTGCCCTGGTAGATTCTAAGATTACAAGCGTTCTAAGGCTAGCTAACCCCAGATCCATCACTTCCTCTTTTACTGTAATTCTCACAAAAGTCAAAGGCACACAAGACATTGAACTACCCAAACATCCTAAAGCATCATTACCAATATAATATTTGGGAAAAGTAACAAGATACAGGGAAAACCAAAACTTTTACCGTTGCTAACAACATTTTCTGTAGATACAGAGGTTCAATTTTTGCCTGCCAATACAAACCTGACACCTTTTCCAGGGAAGAGATTCAGTTTAGGACTTAACACCTTCTGTAACTCAGGTCCCAGAATAAAGCAGTGTTCCTTTTATACAATTCACATCAAGAACATATTTAAACCTACAGAACTAAGACCACTCTATCCAGAATGATCATGAAAATTGAGCCTGAAAATATTTTCCCATAGATATTTTCAACTTACTAAGCTAAACTGGAAAGTGGCAGCATAGTAAAACCTATACATTTTCAACATACAGTAAAATATAACTACACAGTCTTCACTTGAATTTTAACTCATGGACAAACAAGTATTGAAATTCAGTCTCATCTGCTTGCACATTGAGGAGAAGTGCTGTACATTATGTGATATAACAAGATGGACTGGTTGCCCATTTCTTTGTTGAAACTTCAACACAATTAGTAAGAAACCCACCGAGCTACTATTTTGATAGATACAAGAAAGTACACAGATAAGAACATTAAACAATGCATGCAAAAACTCAGATGTATGGAAAATAGTATACTGGAAACAGCTACACAAATGCATGCTTGGCTCATCCCAAAAATAAACTGGGTAGATCATGTAGATATCTTCTTTTTCATTCTGAAAAAAAATGAAGTTCCTCAAGGAAAATGATTTCTCTAACACTTCTAATCAGCGTAGAAAACAGTCTTTATTTTCTCTAATTGGCTGAACAAAGAGAGCAGATAACATTGCACTATTTTTATTTACTGTTTATTTACTCTTTTTTCTTTCTGTAAGGCAACTTTAATAACGTAGTCACAACATGAAAACTTGTCTGCTTTTTACATTTAACCTTTCATCTACTGTAGTTTAAATGTAAAAAATCGTATTTAAATCATAATAGTTTGGTATTTATTCCATCTCACTCCATCTTCGGAATTTCAGTAAACGTTCTCAATAGAGCACTTATTAGTATATCAGTATTATTTCTCCAATTAAAAATATTATTCACAACTATTGACCACTGCACTACACATTTTTAGCCAGTCTGCCAGTGTAGATCCTGATCAACTAAGTAGTCTTCTCCTAGTATACATTACTTGCTTTTATCAGCAATTAATTTTATCTGCTCTTGTACGTTCCAAAGAGAAGAGCAAAGGTCCTTCAACTCTTCATTTAGCTTTTACTCATACTAGTGTGACTAGCCAAGCATCGTCTGGCAACTCTGCTACCCAATTATTCACATTCCTTTCCTTAACATTTACAAAGATACTAACTAATGTACTGATGACATGCCTCCATAATGAAAAGTGACTATACAGCTACTTAATCCTTTTATCCCTGTGCGGTTTAAGTTATTGAAATATAGGTAAACCATATCAATCACCTATGCTTCCTCTGGAAGTTTATCTACCTTTCACAGGATTTTTTTAAGAGAATAATAACCTTTGTATAAAAAAACCAACAAAAAAACAAAAAACAAACCAAAAAACCCAAAACCAAACCCTGCTGTATCTCCCTCTTCTTCAGTACATCACTTCTTTTCCCTGCAAGTTAAGAAACCAAAAGAACCACAAAAGCAAAGGACCACATTCAAATATGCATCTAAAATCCTGACCTCTTTTCCTCCCAATATATCAGCTACTGGAAACCAGTGTTAATCCTTAATTAATTAATTTAATTTTATTAAACATAAAAACAGTACTACAATGTTGATTTATATAATTTCTCTGTTGATAAAATATCAAACATTTTACATTATATTAAGAAACCACGAAACAGATATACATGTACATTACACTAGCTTGTGAAAATCTTTCGATATGTTTCTTTTCCATGTGACTGAAAAAATTAAGCTAAAATTTGGTAACATTTTAGTACTCACTATCTTCTCCTGGACAAGGCATGCCGGGTTTCTCTGGAATACTTGGGAAAACTAAAACAAAAACATTAGATTTTTAAGTGAAATGATTCTCAGCAGTATTTTTTCCTTGATTCTTGAATGTATTTACACAAAGACAGTTTCTGGAAGCCTTTAAATAATTCTGCATGACAAATAACATAACCAAAGTTTGGGTCCATACTGGCAAGATCTTATACTTGACTACAGCATTAACAAATCTGTGCAGTTTAGAACTTGAAGCCCTCTCAAAGCCTACTGTATAGTTTCAGCTTTGGGCGCCACCTCAAAAGAACACTTCCTTCTTACAACGTCAAACTATAGGGCACCAGCTACATAAAGAACAATATTATTTGACAGGCAAAGGAGTTGTTCCAATCTCGCATTTAAGAAGCTGTTAGGATTATCAACAAATGCATACAGGTTCTTGAATTGTGTGATACCTACCATGAATAATCAGCCCTTCATCTCTGTTTTGACAATACAAACGGAAGGCTTCTTCCAGTTCCATCTGAGATGAGATGGTACATGGGTCACCTAACAAAAAAATAATACATAGGCAAATTTATGATTGAAGAATTAAGTGTAGAATTTCAATAGGTCAGTAAGAAATGTACCAGTCTCCAGGATTGCTTTTCGTTCAATCATTTGATATTAAGCTGGCATTTTGATCAAAGCCAAAATATATCAACGTAGTTTTTTCCCTTCTAATTTTATCAAAACTGAGTAGATAAAAATATACTATGTTGGTTTGCAAGGGGACAACAAAATACAAGAGTGAATAGATATGCTTAAAGATCTTTAACACACAGCAGAAAAAAGCTAGATCACTTCCTAGTAACCTGAAAATTTTAGTTTAATTCAAAATTAATTTACCCTTTGTTGAAAGGCCCATTATCTTACTACCTTAACTTCACTGACTGCGGAACCAAGATACGGTAACTTAGAAGTTACGAAGGTACACAGAGATTCTAGTTGAGTCTCTCTTGCTAGACTGACAGAAAAGCAATCTATGATTAAAAAGTGTAAAAAAAATAAGATACACAGATGAAAGTTACGGATGGGAAACAAATGTGCCAACACTGACGTACAGATATAATTAATGTAAAATTAATTCCTCTCTAAAAGTTTCAAATTTTCAGGGTTGGCTTGTATGCTTTGAGTAAAATAGGTTCACATTTTTTCTTTTAACTTAGTTTTAGAAATAGAAGGAAAGCAAACAGAAGGAAAAAAAATTATGAAACCTGCCTAGACACAAACAACCCTCTCTCTTTCAGAAAAAGATATATCAGGCCTTAGTTCCTATTAATTTGTCTTCTGTACTCACATTCTGTAGTAGCAGATTCAATAGCTTTCAAAAGTTCTCAAAAAGGCAACATGCCAGCTGCAATTCAAAGCATATTCTAAAGAGCCTAACTATTGAAATAGATAAAACAAAAACCCACACACCCCAAACTACAAGGTATCATTCAGAATGGAATTCACAGCGAAAAGAATAAAATAAATGGAGACACAAGCATTACCGCACCTTAAGGCCTGGGCTCAAGTACCATGCCTTATCCACACCTTATTACCATTTATGTGACATATACCATTAGTTTTATATTAAGAAAATATGCAGGAAAAAAGACAAGAGTACTCCAAAAATGTTATTAACTAGTAAGAGATGGAAGACTAAAAACTACCTGTGGGATGGATATTAGCCTTTAAGCAGTGAAAATAAAGAACTCCATTTCTCCGAAGGAGAGACAGCTCTAAGATGGCTCTTCTCAGCTAACAGAACGGACTTCAGTATGATTTGGAAGTAATGACATGACACATTGGTGATGTTCCATAAAAATCCCACTGAATTAATTTGTTGGTGCCAGAGACACAAAGCACTGGAAAAGCTTCTTGGGAGAACTGGAAGCTAAGCCAGAACACCCGTATTACTGAGATCTATGTTTCAGAAGATGTCCTTTCCAACGTATAAATCCTAATCAGTTTAAGTGAGGACATCTTTACTTAATGTTAAACACCTGAATTGGAAAATAATATGGGAATACCTCTCTGGTAGGCAGAAACACTGTTTTAACAGCCCATGACAACCTCTAAATCAGTGGTCTCCAAACTTTTTTGACAGCATACCCCATCATTAAAATTTTTAAAGCATAAACCCCCAATATGTGTATTTATAAATTATGTATATTATAAAAACATACACAAAGATAGAAATTCTAAAAGGATGAGATAAAAATTTAAAAATTAAAGTTTTTTTTTAATGGCACCAAAAAACTTACCTCTCAAAATACTAAAAATTAATTGAAAATATTTTTAGTGAGAGCTATGTGATTGAACATGCTTCATGACTTTTCAAAGTCTTGGTTTAACATTTTATGATGTAATGATTCAAAGATCTGGTTCTAAGCTCAGTTTATTTCAATACTTGGTTTTAATGGTGTCATAGCTAAAAAAAAGATACCTCACAAAGATATGTAGATCCAAATGAAAGAAGTGCATCATTGGCTGCGCTTACTAAATCACAATACCTATTCTTCAATCCCATCCACCATTTATGCAGAGGTTTTGTTGGCATCCAGTCAGTAAATTTTCATCTTCCCTGATGTCATTCAGCTGTTCTTGCAAACTAATCTGAAAGTTGCATTTAGTTGCATTTTTAACTAATGGGTTCAAAACCCACTGAAACTGTTTGGAAGAGTTTTTAACAGGTTAGAAAATTCCATTTCCAAGTTTAAGTGTACCGATGGAACAACAGAAATATCTTCAAATAGCCATTTTCAAAACGCTGTCTCCATATAGCACAAGTTCCTTTTGAAAAGTAGTTACTCTCTCAATCATTGAGATTGGTTTTTTTTTTTTGAAAATAACTGCTAGGTAGCATATACTGACAGCCACTTGTCATCACAGATAATGTCCATGTATTTGGAACATTTATTATTCTGTAAAAGAAAAATACATAACTCATCTTCAAGTTTAACAACTCTTTTAAGCACTTTGCTGCAAGATAACCAGCTAACCTCTGCGAGGTACAAACTTTCATGGTCACTCCCCAACTTATTACTAAGTATTGTAAACATTGTGCTATATAAAGTTCCTGGGTTTATAAAATTAATGCACAGGATGTGTATTGATGACATCCTGTAGCACTCCATACACTTCTGGCTCCAACTCCTTTGCTGCAATAGCTTGCCTATGAATGATATAGTGGATGAATTTCATGTGCGGTGCTCTCTGTGCAACTTTACCCCAGAATCCTTTTTATATTCCCGTCAAATCAGCCTCTCCATTAGTGGAGACTTACACAGTTTTTCCATAACACATTGTTTTTATTAATTTACTGTTGAGATTGTATCTTTTCCAGTACATCTTTCTTTCCTTCACTGACTCACAAAAAACTACATCTTCACATATCTCATTATTGAAACAGAATCTAGCAAATACCATAAGCTGAGCCATGTTAGAAATATCTGTACTTTCACCCAACCATACAGCAAACTTCCCATACTGGATAGTTTGTTTTAATACTTGTTTCTTTGAGCCTTCAGCAATATCTTCTATGCATCTTCCAACAGTATTTTCTGACAAAGGAATGCATTTCAGTTTGCCCCCATCTTGTTTCCTGTATATTATTCCAGCCATTTTTACAATGACAGGAAGAACAAGTGTTTCTCCAATGGTATTGGCTTTTTGTCTTCTGCTATTAAGTAAGAAGCTTCAAAACTGGCTTCTAAAAATTTAACATAGAGTTTAGTGAAGTTTCGTAAAGTACCAAATTGAGTATCAGAAGACTTAAAACATCAGAAAAAAACAGATGTACAGGTTTGTCTTGTTCTGGATACTTAGTTTTTAAATGTCTTGCTAATCATGATGGCTTCATACTATCATTATCTATTATCTCAAAACACAACATACACTTAGGGTGAGGTTCATCATTGAAAATAGTGGATGTAAATACATATTTCAATTACTGCTCTTGATAATTTTGAATCTTTTTGACTGACTTTTTGTCAGATCTGATTAGATAGTCATTGTTTTTACCCTGTAGTGTGGCTGACAAAGTTCATACTTAGGAGTAGGAGAAATGTCAGTTCCACCATTTTCATGTTGTCTGCTTGTGCTCACATTATTAGCATTACTTTGTGAGGGTTATTTTAGTTAAAACTAGATAATTAATCCATAAAGCCACTTAACCAGACACACGTAAACTGCAGTACGTCACAATACAGTGCAAGCGAGCAAATGAGCGAGGGTGTCACTCTCAACCCCTGCAACTCTGTGGAACACCTACTCTTCCCGCAGCACACCTTGCCCACGATATGTGACACATGACCACATGATATACAGGCCAAATGATGACACCAGCATCGATCAACATATTAAATCAAGTAAAGCTCAATTTCTTATTTTTAAAAAATATTCTTAGTTTTTAAAAAGATGCATCCCATCTACCCCTGGCTGCATCTACCCCTCTTTGAGGGCCACTGCTCTTGATGATCTATAAATACTGCAATAATGCAACATGAAAGACAAAAGAATTATTTGTACTGCAAACCAATGATCCATATTCTTGTATGTTTATGGGATTTTATTATGAGAGAGTTATTCACAGTTCAAACATTTTGGATCTTATAAAAAACAGAGAAACACTAAAAAAGCCCTACAGAAAATTAATTTTCTCCTGCTCTTTAATAGGTTTTCTTTATTCATTAAGCCATCACAATTGTTTGCTTTAAGTTAGTTCAAAGAGAACATCTGTTGGTGCAATCAGTCAAATGAACTTAAATTATATGTGGCAATAAGTAGAACACTCACTCATATGCAGAAATAGGGTAACTCACAAAACCTGTGAGGATTGAGGGCAGTCAAAACAGCAGATTGGTCTAAACTTAGTAACTTGGAATTGGGAATTAGAAAAAGGGTTGTATAGGTATGTATTTAAACAAGACTAGAAGAAAATACTTACTAGAAGCGTAACTAAAAAAAGAAATTCATTGTTTTAATTTAAAGTAAACCTCAAAAAGCCAATGCAACAGATATCCAAACCAAGAAATAGTTAACAGGAATCACATTTTAAAACCCTCCAACTCAAAACTCAGGAGGTTTTCCTCTTTCCCACAATAATCTTCCTTTCATTAGCAGTCATGCAGTTCAAATAGCTAAGCACATGCAATGTAATTACTGTCCATGCACTTCTGATCAGGTTACTTTTTATTAGACTGCCATGAAACTGACGGTAGGAAACTAAAGTCAGTACAATTGCCTGTTTTTCCTGGTAATCAGAAGATAAAATTTAAGAATAATTGATACTACTCCTTGGTATCTTACAAGGACTGAATCCTTCTTGACTACAGGCTACCTCCTTCCTCAATCATTATTTTGAAATTCCATTCACCCACCAAACAACACTACTCTGCTAAGAGAGCAGCATAGGCCATTTTTAAAAAAACAAAACACAATTACAAGTGTTAGTCAAACCGATTTAGTATTTTTTATCTTTCTGCATCCAGTTCTAGAAGTTCTGCTGCAGAACATGGCTTTGGCAAGGTGCAACAGGTAAATAACCGAGCACTTGTGCAGTTGCATAATTGCATGGTAGCTGTTCTCAACCTACTAGGTCAAAAATTCTGCCCATCATGAGTTACAGATGCACTACACTCCTGTTAAATCATAAGCAGACACGTACATTCCAAAAGGATGCAAAAAAGTAGCAAAGGCACTCAGTGTCAAGTATCCCCATTTCACTACTACTCACAACAACCAGAAGGCTCTAACTTAAGGCTGCAGACAACTGCCACATTTTACAGCAGAAAGATATATGCAAACCCATCTCGCATCATGTCAATATTTCAGAGCCTATAGGAAGGGTAAAGAAAAAGTAAGTTTCTCTCACACACAACTGTTTGTGGAAGAATAATGATACACTCCTTTACATCTGGAGATAACTTAGAAAAATGAGATCTGGCAACATCAACCTTTCCTGCAGGAACATTGTAAGAAACAGACTTTCACAACAAATCATTTTTACATGATTTTATCAACACCACATTGCACAAAAATAAAAGTTTATGCTATTTTTCCCACATATGAACTCCCCTCCCCCCCCGCCCCAATCTTCTTTTTCTGGACATGACTTGCTTTAGATATACTGGGTATTTTTGCTCACCACAATGGGGAAACAACTTATTTCTGGTAAATTTTTATTTAATGCCTATTATCTTTGAAAAATGGTGCTCTGAAGTATCAGTCAAGTGGAAAAACCACAAAACTAAATTCAAGTCACCTTTATTTCATGTTTGGTCATTGCATTTTACATCAACAGGATATTAACAACCAATTTAGTAGAATGCTCCTTTAAATATAGACAACATCTATCCTCTAATTCTTGAAAAGGGTATGTTAGACCATTAATACAATCAACACTACTATCAGTAACAATCATGCAGTTGCTGGGAACAACCTCCATAAAAAGAGAAAATCAATTATCATTACTGGCATTCTTAGCACCTACCTTGCGCATAAAATACAAAAATCCTAGAAGAGTTAAAAACAGTCTTCTGATATTACAGTTGCATTGCTTCTCAGAAACACACTCATTCAGGAGATAAATCACAATTCAGAAGACACAAGTGCCTGTGTCATTGCAGAAGCTGACACAGTTAAAAACATCAAAAAGTGATCTTGTCAAGAATTTGAAATTGAGAATTTTGAGGGGTACAGCATTAGGCCTACAAAAGTCTGAAATTAAAACAAACTTTGCATTCAGCATAGAAGTATGAGATAGTAAAATATTAAAGTTCTACAAAGCCTTCACTTCGACAGAAGTGAATTCAAGTGCTACTGCAATCAACCTTGATGTTTTGAGGCTCATTTCTCCAAGTTCCCTGCTTTCTAAGACAGGGTTATGTACCATGGTATTTAGAAACAAAAAGAAAGTCCACATATGAAACTTGTTTATACAAGTTTCCTCAATGCCTCTTCTTTGTACCACAATGAACAATAAACCCAAAAATGCCTAAGTAGTATTTCAGTACAATACCTTCATCATCAATCCACTTGAGGGTAATTGGCTGTTCCTGCTGTAAATTACACATCTCATGCACTTCATCACAAAGTTCATCATAGCTCATTGATGCATCCAAGTTTGTTATCAGGATGTCCCTGCATGAGATGAAAACATAAGCTTTTATCAGAAAATATCTGCATTAGCCTGCATATTCCAACAATTCCATTTATGGACTCTAAACTGCAAAATCATACTCAGAGAATCAGCATTCCTCATATAAAATGCTCACACTAATGTAAATTAGTTGCCAGAAGTCAATAGGATTACATCTCAGTGTTCAACTTTTAAAAAATACTTTAGTATGGAGGAATTAACTGTGTTAATGATCTATCTTTAATGCACATTTACTTGGGTGACTCAATTTCCCTTATTATAACTATCAGCATCTGAAATGTTGTAAAAAACCGTAAGATTTTGTGAATTTTACCCAGGTATTTCTTCCATCATGAAATAAGTGATATCTCAATTATCGTAAAATCCTTTTAAAATGTAGGTTTTTCCTCATATTCACTATACTGTTAGAGAGAATGCTTTGATTAGGTGAATTCTTAAAAGTATCATTACAAGAAAATTCAGATAAAATCTTACTCAAATTCCGCATCTTGTGCTCTACCTTTATAGTGTTTTGAGAACATGAACCTAACACTGAACTCTGCTAATGTAAACCATACAGTATGCCCAGGCATTTGTGAGAGTGACTTTTGATATAATGAAAGCCCACACAGTACTGTCAAAGCAGGGCAAATATTAAAAAAAACAGCAAAGATTATGCAAAACAAAATCTATACAAACTAGACTTTCTCCTGTTTTCTAAATATTTTTCAAATTACAGACTCAAGGAAACCAACTGATTAAACAAGTGCAGGAAGAAAGAGGAGATGTACTTAAGTCATCTCAGTGCTGTCAAAACCTTCAAACCCAAAAAATTAGGAAACAGTTTTGTAGTTAATGGCTACTGGCATATGTAATTCTTTCCCTCTTAGTTTAATACAGTAAACACATCAAAAGTTTCCCAACATGACAGACACAGTTTTCCTATTTTCATACTGTGTGATAAGTCATTTTAGAAAACATGTTATATTACATATTTTGCCTACTTATGTCTTTCAACCAGAAACCGAAAGGTACTACACTGAACTAAGAATTTCAAATTCTACAACTTACACTTTAAATGATATGCACTAATAACTTTGCATTTTGCCTTTGCTGAGGAAAATTACAGTAAGCAAAGCTCTAAAACAATCATTTTAAAGATCTGTACTAAGTTTCAAATTCAGATTAAAAGCACTGTACCTTTTCAAGTGTACCTTTAATCTACAATTTGTAAAGTTCTCAAAGAACAGCAACTTAATAATTCTCCATAATAACAATGGAAAAAGAAATACATACGCTAACTGCCAACCTGTAAATCCATATTATTGTACAATATTGAGAGCAGTCAGGTGAGGCTGAGTTTAAGAACATCTCCCTGTCAAAAAAGTCGTATTTTATGCACTTATGAAAGTAAGAGACCAAACCAGTTCTCAAAGTAGTGTCTGAGGTCTAGTGCAATGCCTTGCACCAAGACAAGGTCACTACCAAATGCAGCTCATTACTTAGTGCACTGCTACCGCAAGCTACTCACGAAATCAAGTAGCTATAGATCTGTGGTAACTCTGGACAATCACATTTTCACAAGTATCTAAATAATATTCAAAACCTGAAACTCTGCAGTACAACAATACTCTACTAATCAGCCTTAAATCGTTAAAATTATTATAACAGATGGCACTGCCATTCTACATGTAAATTAATAAGCTTCATATTGGACAAAACACAGCTGAAGTATGCTAAATAGCACCTATTGCTGATGCAAAATTAATTACATTTATTCAAATTATTATCTCAATGATGTCCCTGTTCCTTTGAGATTTACCATGTTTAATCTTAATGTCTGTAGAGCCACATTAGGCAATCAGGGCACAGATAAATGAAAATCATTTGTTGTTTAACACTAAAGAATCCCGCAGGACACTTTTTTGTCAGGTATCTGAAACTGTACACTACAAAGTAATATGAAGAACTAATGACCAGTAAGTTATGTATGAGCAGTTATAGCAAGAGAACCATTCCCACTGATAGATTAAATGTGTCTCCATTTAGAACCAAGGTAACATACAGCAAATGATACTGCATCACTGCTCTATTTAAATGAAGTGATTTCAAGTAACCAGGTATAAACCAGATAAACTAAGTAACTGAAATAATTAAACAAGAATTACACAAGTTTACTTTCTTTTGCAATCTACTTATGCAGTTATTTGTACTATGCTATGTTAGGAACTCTGTCACACCCAGAGACATGAATACCTAAGATACTAGGACTCCACAGACATAGACTCAACATTCATTTTAGAACTTCCTCATGCTTAGATTTTCAACTGGGATTTCAAAATTACATATTGTACTATTATTTTAATTTTTTAGCAGCCACCTGAATGAACTTGTCATTAACTCTGAAGTTGTCCGGCATCAATGATTTCCTGCTGTTTGTCAAATTTGTTCAAAAGATGAGTGCAGTACTTTAATGGAGATACTGAGATACAGTCTATAATGCCAAAAATAGTGAGCTCTTACTCACAGAATTTGATCAAGTAGAACAAAATTCATTGAGTTTGGAACTCTTGTTTTGTAAATTGACACGTTATAGACTTTGCAACTAATGGAAATTATTGAACATAGTGTTGCAGGAGAAACTACAGTAGTAGTCTATTGTAAAACATCATAATAATTACACATGAATTCTAATAGCGACACAAGTATCACCTCCTCCATTTCTGCACAGACAAGTTCTACAGACACACTCCTTTCACTTTATATCAACACTATCTGCCAGCAAGCTATCCCAAATCATTTACACTAAGTTCTATCTGTGTTCATAGTGCCTTCCCTCACAGAGCTAAGGCAGCTCTCCTATTGCTGTTTCAGAGAAGCATGCATATCCACGCATCTCAGAGAAGCACATCACACAAGTGTTTGAAGTTCAGATGTTCTTTTCAACTTAAGCCTATGTATGACATGATTCAGAGATGTAGGATTAAACTATGGAGCAGAAAATAATTATTAGTAATGGCAAATACACGGTACAAATCTTTCATCCAGAGTTCATAACGCAGTTTACATGCATCTATTAAATAACCAAAATAAAACCATGGTACAGATTAATGATAACAAAACCCAACTGATCTGCATTAACTATTAAAAACACATTTCAGAAATTAGTGAGCAGCAGTAACAATGAACCACAGCATGCAGTCCCATTTACTTTCTACATGGATTTCTTGTATATTTTACTTCAAGTAAAATAGCAAATTTCTGTATTTTTAACACATAAGTTTGACACGAATTCTCACCACTAAAAGCTTATTTATGTTTTTACTACGCGAATTTTCGTAAGAAAATTTAACCTGTAGATAAATTAACTGTAAATTAACAAGATTCTACTAGACTTTCAATTTACAGGTGGCAAAATGAAGACAAAGATCAAATGACTAGACATAAGGAAAAAATTAAAGTCAGTAGCACAGCTAGAAATTAAAGCCAGCTAAAGTAAAAACAGATACATTTTCATACTAATTTATGAAAAAACTGGCATTTATCAAATTGATACAATTGCTGTAAAATTCTAAAGTCAGGACCTCAAACTACTTAGCACTGATTGGGTACATAAGTTTAATGAGAAAGCACTTTGTTTTCAATAAAATTTGGTGGAGTGATTTTCATAATTACGTTTAATTCAAAATAGCATTCTCCTCTACCACAATATAAGAACAACTACACCAGTGTAGCAATATTTACTTAATTAGCAGTAAAACATCAGAAAAGATGACTCGGGTCACTTATCAAATGCCAGTAAATTCAGTCTAAATACTTCAAATCAAGTCAAAGGATTTACTTAGGCCAAATATTTAATTCCTCAAATGACTTAAACTTAGGCCTTGGAGGAAGACAGGAGAGACCAAAGCAACATTAATTTACAAGGTCCTCACAGTGGCAGCAAACCAATTAGATTAAACATGCCTCAAAAAACAAATTTCATGTTTAAGTAACAAAGTCTTCCTGACTCTACTGACAAGTCTCTGAAGTCAAAGTACCATGACTTTTTTTTAATCATTATTGTCTTAAATCAGAGCTGCAAAAATAAGCATTGTGAAGATAATTGAAGCAGCTGTGTCAACATGTCATTGCCCTTCAAGCTGCATTAGTCAAATTACTGGGAGGGGAGCAGGGGAATAGCTATCAAAAATTAAAGGGCAAACTATACAAGAATTTACTTTTAGTATTTATTCACAACAGAAAAACAAAGATTGTGGGTTTGATTTTTTTTTTTTAATCACTTAAAACTGAGTCTTCAAGCAGCTTGCATAGGTTCATCTAAATTTACTGGTAACTTGCAATGTAAGCAAAATACCCTCATTTCTCATATTTACCTAAATAATTCCAATAATAATTCCTTCTAAAATTTCTGTAAGACAAACAAAAAAGAACAAAACCAATGGCACCCTCTGATTATTTCAAGACTTACATATCTATCCACAAAGAAACACCTCCTCTAATTTTCCAAGACAGTGCTGTAAGTTAAAATAGTATCTGAAAATCCCCACTAGAGAAGGACTCGTATTAAACATTGCATGTTTTGTCCCAAGGAGCACACAGTCACAAACTGACATCTGTAAGTGGAAACCTGTACTTCACAGTCTCCTGCTAATTTCAGCCGTAACTTGTAGAGTTCATTATGTAAGATTTATCATATCTTTATTATAAAGTACATACAATAAAATGCATCTGGACACAGGAGATGGATCTATACCTGTCTGTGACCACGAACACTTGTAACAAAACAGAAATCAATAACCCATTAACCCAAAATAACTGCATGCCAGTTTTGCACATTTTCCCCCCTTACTAGAGAAGAATAAGCTATCAACTCTTTTCCACGATCAGCATGCTGCAGGAGTCTGGATGGTATTTTAACAGCCCAGAAGTTTACCTACCTGATCTGACATTAATTACAAATCCCCCAATGCCCTGGTTACTCTATCGCTAGACTCCTGCTCAATATGCTTCAAAATTAGACAGGACATAATATTGAGGAGAGAATATGCTGACTTACCCACTATAGTGTGTTTTTACTCTGATGAAGTCTTTGTTCAAATCAATTTTTGAGCCCATTCTGCTAGGCATGGTCTGTATTTAGCAGTCTAAATGAAATTATAAATATATAAAAATAAGTTCATTGAAGACAGATAATTCATTTAATTCTGAAGTGAACAGCTTCACATGTGAAATATGCGTTTCTCATCCAGATGATTTTCAATCCAGCTGCATAGGAAGAAAACCAGAATACAGATGAATATACACACACTCTACTAAACGAGTCATGTCAAATTTTATAAACACAAATAGCTTTACAGAGAACAGCTAGAAATCAAGAGGAAAATATACAAGACCATTGATCTGCACAGAAATTAAATCCTATCAGCTAGAAATACCCTGTACGATTTAGTTTTACAGAAATATCCCAAGCATTTAAGGATGTTTTTTTAATAAAACATCCAACAGTTCCCTCTTGGCCAAAAATATTCCAAAGAAATCTTTACTTATTCATCAACACAGCTTCGGGCTCTTTTCTTCCAAAGAGTAGAGTATTTTAATTCAAAATAGTTTTTATATATGTGGAAGACTGCTATCAAGTAATGTTGGTTACAAATTTACCCAAGAAAAGCAGAAGAGGAACTCCAAGGGGCAATTGAGGTCACCTTTACGATTGGAGACTGACAAACATCCCGTTTATTCAAAACTACCATCGCCTTCCCTTATGCATATCTATACACACACATATATGTATTCACGTAGCTCCCTAACCCCGCTGTCTAGGGAAGCAGGGCCGTAGGTACCAAGGAGAGACTCCAGAATCGGCCTCCCGACCTCCCCTCTCTGGTTAGGAGCAACACGCAGCCCCTTCCTGTGCGACCCCCGGGACCCCCAGCGCCCGCCGGCC